TCCCAATCTTCCATTCACATGCACCAAACTATATGGGGAATTGAAGTTGTTCGCATTTACCACTACCCTATGCTCAAGTCCTTCCAGAATACTTTAAATACCCAAAATACAAGTGCTGGGCAACAGAAAATATTGAATTATTGTCCTTTCAGAGGAAGGTTAAAAGACCACAGACATGCACACACACACATATACTAAGTTAAGATAACATTTCACAGTCAACTTGAAATTCTACCCCTTTTGACTCATATCCTCCAGAGTCCATCAAAAACCTAACAAAACCTTGCTCCTTCCTCTCGTTCTGTCAACCAGTTGGAAACATGCCTCAGATTAGTCCTGCACAGAGACTGTCCACTGTGCAATTTGAATTAGAGTTCTAATTTGGACTTCAGCTGGGCACAGGGGGAAAGAAAAGTTGCAGCCTAGTTTGGTTAGCAAGTGGGAAGGTACTTTCACCCCCGTATTTCCACTGCCACTTTGGGAGGAGTGGGGGGAAAGAAGAAAAGTTAGCTCTGTCCTTCCTCTATGCAGCTGTAATTTGGGGAGGAAGGCGTGGAGAGAACTTTCTCTCTTCATTCTACCTTCCCAAAAATCAAGGTACAAGTCATATTCCAAGACACATTATGTATGCAAGAAAGTATGGAATGATCTTCTTGTATATCCTGTAAGAAATCATAAACTATTATACATTAGTCCACTATAGACACTATTTCAAGAATACTGGTTAAGCACAACTTTTCAAGAAAATTTAACAAAAAAGGGAAACTGAAGCTTTTTAACTAGATAATCATATAAAGTAGCAGACTAAGTCAATTTAAAAAAAAAACCCAACATGTTTTCTATAAGTTTTCCCTCTTGTTTTCAGGACAAATGCAGCACTTCACAGGACAAGAGAATTTGCTAACACAAACTGGAAGGAACTGGGAATATTAAAATTAGGGCTTATAATGGAACCTGGTTCAAAATTTACATCTTAGTTTTTTGCTAAATGATACAAATAATTTCACTTGTAAAAAACAGCCCCATGACTTCAATGGACAACTCACATTAAGTGACACATGGACAAAAATAACCGTATGAATGTCCGCTTAATGGGAGAAAGCGTTCCTTTCCCACACTGTGCAAGAGTACATTTACATCACCAAAATGAAACATGCAAAATAACTGCGGAAGTCAAACTACATTTTAAGGTGAACTGAACATAATCCATTAAAAGAACCTAAATAATACGTTTGAGTCAATGAATCTCAAACCCTGGAATTAAAAGCCAAATTTCTGCTTTATAAGAATGCGGGACTGGGACACACGGACACCCTTTAACTTTTGAGGTCAGGCTTTAAAAATACGGCACAGTATTTCATGTACCGGGGGCTTGATCCTGCAAGGGATGCAGGACAGATACTACTGGATGCAAAGGATCTGCAAAGTCATATCAAGTGCTGAAACCCGGCCTCTGACTCCAGCAGATACCATGTGTACTCCTTAAACAGGATTATCCACTGAGCCCACATGGATGGTATCAAACCTGTTTTATTCCCTGTACCCAAGATCTCAAATTATGAGTATTTATGCTTCTGCACCCATAGTGGAGGCTTACTCGCCAGCTCACGGAAAAACAACTATCTGCTCAGTAACTACCAACCCCTTGCTTCTGAATGGTTCTGGGTACTTTAGTCAAATGGCCCTTGGTCCCTTTGCATGTGTACAGAGATGTAAACATTAACTTCTCAAATCCTCTATCCATGTCTGAACACTAAAATACTGCAGCACACAAGGCCAGAGGGTAATAAGAACAGAAAACATGGATTATTAGGGGGGAGGGTATTTTTTCTTGGAATGGGGAAAAAGGGGGAAGGATATGGTGGGTTATGTCACAGGGAGAAGGAGTCTTGGTTTGCTGGTAATTTCTTGTGTGGATGAGAGAGTGGAACAGAGTAAGGAGCAGTGTAGAAGCAATGAAATCAACATTTATTAAACGTAACATTTATTAAATTGTACTGAAAATACACCTCTCTTTAAAAAAAAGCACAACGGGAAAGTTGATAAAAACCAATTATTTAAATCCAGTTTTAGGCTTGCTGATTTCAATCAGTTATTTAAATCAATTATTTAAATGGACTTGATATAAAAATCAATCCACCCTAATTCAAGATGTGAAGAAGTTTTTACCCATTACCACTGACAATAAAAGACTTCACTCGACATCAGCTTGACTCAGGCCAAAATACTTAAATCTTCGTATTTTAGAATAATTTTCAGTATATTCAGACCCATATGAAGTGTTTTCATACATATTTTGTCTAGTCAAGTTCAGGAAACAGAAGTGTCAAAAGCGAAGTGAAACTACAGAAGCGAATATGAAACTAACTCTAAGTTTTGTTTCCCTCTGCTCCCCACACCAAACAGAAAAACGTGCACTCCAGGCTCTGGAATGCATTATATTACAACAGGGAAGTCTTCAGACAAAATAAAAGACATCATGCAAGTTGCACTTGACCTACAGTGAATTCAAACTTCAAAGAATGGGTGGCAAAGCACACTAATTATACCTGCTTGTTTTTTTTGAGATTCACAGGAGTAGCATAATAGCTATTTTGGATGAGCTACATGTATTATCCTACAGATTAAACTACCAGCAGTAGCTGCAGTTTAGTAATGGCTAGTGTATAAAATAGTCGCACTCTGAAGTTGCAAGAGGCTTAATGCTAACAAGTGTATTGTTGCTTTCTCAAGTCACCCTACCTATAAGAGGCTGCCCTTCCTCTGGGCCACTGACAACTGCCCAATATGTTTTGCAAATATTGGCATATGAACTTCTGCCACAAGACTAAAAAACAAGAGGCATCACTGTAAACAGTATGAGTTAGCAGATGTCTACAGGAAAAACAGTATCACCATGTCCAATCAGGTTCAAAAGTCTCATAATGCAATCTCGCAAGTCATTTTGCAACTAGCACTGTAATTCTATCCAAGAAAGCTACTTGGTAAACATAAGGTCACTTGCACTGTTTTTTGTTGGGGTTTGTTTTTTGGGGGGTTTTTTTGTTTTTTTACAAAAGCAGATTTTTAAATACCCAGATATTTATTAGGCAGACAAGGTTCCTTGGGTGAATCTGATATCTTTTATTAGACAAACCCAAATAGTTGGAAAATAATAAAAGCTGGTCTAATAAAAGATATCAGATTCCCCCAAGGAACCTTGTCTGCCTATGTCCTTAGACCAACACAGCTACAACCTACACCCCTATAACATGGAAGATATTTATTACATTCTTAAATGTTCAAAAAGCATATTTAAATATTATTTTTCCTTTTTTTTTTTTAATTCTGGGAGTGAAGATCAGCTTCACAATCTATTTATCAATTAAGACAATTAAACACAAGCCATCACAGAGCTCAACAGGAACTTGGACTCTCATTAGTCTCCATATGTAGCAAATATCATCACTGTAGGGATACACAGTATTTAGAAAAAACAGAATTGAAAGTTTATTCACAGGGATGTGGTGCACTGACTACAGTTGTGGCAGTCCATTTTATAAAAGTGTCATCATATGACAAGACTGGGCTGGAAAGAGCATCATTAGTACCCAGGGAAATTTTCACTTGCACTTTGACAGTCCTCAGAATCAAAACGTTTCCTGATTTTGTCAGCAGAAGGGATTTTTAGAAACTGTTCTCACCAGTGCTCTCACCCGCACTGGCACAAGTGCTCTGGGTGGGTTAGTGAAGGCCAGGTTTGATGCCCTGTTCTATATGTCGCTGCTAGGATTTTGTTAACACAGCTAAAGAACAAGCACTGTGTTTACACCAAGATTTCTGGTACTGAACTAGTGCAGCACAAATGCAATCTTTCAAGGCTTATTTTACAAGATTTAAATCCTGCATCTTCCTGAGCTGAATCCCAATTTGGAAACATTCCCATCCTGAGAGAAACAAAGTTAGTTGGGTAAATGTAAAATCTTGTATTAAACCAACTGAATAGCTGGGGGAAAAAAAGGTTATTTTTAAGCTCTCAGGCACAGACACCCTCTTCTTCAGGCATAGCGGGAGTCTGCTGGTGTTCTCTCCAGGGCCAAAAAGAAGCTTAAGCCACTATGCAAAACTTGCAAAGAGCAAGTTTTCCAACTATGCAGTTGCTATGCAGTTGTTGTTTTTTTTTAAAACAGACGATATCACATTTACCCAAATAACCTTGTCTATGTCCTTACACCAGCTCCCCACCCCCCGCCCCAAAACATCCCGAGGGGGCATGCCATTCCCTAGGCAAGTGACTGGTTTCCAACTCAGTGGCAGGGCTCCAGGAAGCTGACCAGAAAGCCGACCAGAAAGCCACCTTTACCACAACCACTGCCTGCAAAGGAAGTGCAGAACTCTCAAACTCTTTGTTTAAAGGTGATACCTTTTATTAGATGAACCAAGAAAGAGATCTTAGTCGATCTAATAAAAGATATCGACTCTGAACCAAGGGATGATCTGAACTAAGAAACATTTCCTAGTTGGTCTAATAAAAGCTATCATCCCTGAACCAAGAGTTGGAAAGATTCACATTTCTT